CCAGGGTCTCACACCTGGGATGGGAGAGGCCCAGGTGTGAGCTCTCAGTTCTGCTCAAACTGACGGTCTGGGTCCTCCCCAAGATCAGCTGGGACCACAGAGTGACTCAGGAACTTAGCATGAAGGACACAGACGTCTCGAGACCCGGTGTCTGTATCCTTCATCCAGAGAGACGCAGCCTGTCTGGTATTAGGTTTCCCTGGAGACTGACCTGAAGTTGCTCTGTTACTCTAGAATTGCCGGCACCTTGCTGAGCTGGACCTTCTCGAACAAACCATAGGATTACGTGCCTCCAAGCCCCACAGTGCTGGTAGCTCGGGTCGGCTTCCTCCTGTCAATCAGGCGACAGGCCAGCCTCACCTGTGCACAAGGGCCAGCCGGCCGGCACGTAGACAGGGAGACCGCACCCCCCGCGCTGTAAAAGGTGAGCATCCATTGAAACTGCAACTCTGATCCTAAACCACATGCACGTAACGATGTGTGTTCAAGATACTTACTGCAGCAATAATAGCAAAAGATTGGAAATGAACCTGACTTCCCATTAATAGGAGACTCATTACATTATGATAAACCCAGAGCTGTTCCCTGGAATCCGCCAGGATTGGTGCCAGGACCCCATAGGTGCTCAAGTCCCTAGAGACACGACCTAGCAGTCGCACACCACCTGCGCACACCCTCCCTGTAAGTTACATCACCTCTAGATCACTCAGCAACCTAATACAGTGTAAGTGCTGTGTAAGCCAGTGCTGTGCTGTACTGATTAGGGAATAATGACAAGACGTCTGTACGTGTTCAGGACAGATGCCACCCCCGCGGGCCTCACTGTGTGGGATCCCACCTGAGGCCGGTTGAGTCTGTGGACGAGGAGGGTCAACTGCATATGAGATAGAAGAAATGTGGCTGCTAAAAATTAATAAGGCCGTTCTCTCAGTAGTCCTAAGGAAAAAGTCCCAGATACACTTCAAAAGTTAAACATTGAAATAGCAAAGTGCCAAAGAGCATGTACTGTATGCTGTCGTTTGTTTGAAAAAATCTAAATCTGGCTGCTTTCACCTGCTGTGACTGTATTTGGAAGGGTCCACGCAGTTGCCTCTGGAAACCTGGAAAGGGACCCGTGGAAGAAGCAACAGGTGCAAGGAAAACCTACGTTTCTCTGAGTATTTTTTTCTTTTGGGATTTGTGAATGTGATAGCAGTTGTTTGCATTTTCAGATATAAACAGAAGGCAAGCAGCCCGTCCCCGTCAAGCAGTGTTCACATCTAATCCAGATGGGGGGCGCTTAGCCATGGTCAGGACTCGCCAGGGAGTGGGGCTTTCTAGGGGCCACATTTTTTAACCCCTCCCCCCAGCTCAATCTCTCTCCCTTAGAACTTTGGCTTCTTTTCCACCCCACATTACACATTTTTCTCTTTTTTTTCAAGCTCTCTGCTCCTTCCCTTCTGCTTGCTCTTGCCATGATATCATGCCTCGTTTCAGTGTGCTTTCCTCACATGCCAGCATTTCCAGGCTCATGGCTCACTTTCTCCTGGTCATCGCTGATGTCGGCACAGTCCCGCAGCGGCACAGGTGAGTGGCTTCTGGGAAGGCCCTCTGCTCCACTAGTCCTGCCTCCGGGGGTTCCTGTAAGTTTCAGTGCTGAATTCCCCTTTGTTACCTCGGGTTATACTTCCTCCTGACATCATCCACAGTCCCTTCTCCTGAGAACTTGTGCCCACTTCCTTGTGATTTCTGACTCCCTTTCTGCAGGTTTTAATGCCTAAAATCTCTGATCCTTTGGGTGCGTTCTTCCAGCCTCCTCTGCACTCTCCAGCCCACCCAAGTTAATCGGGTTCCTGGGGGGAGGTTATGAGAGGGACCCCACACCTGCTAAGTTGCATCAAGGCCTGTGGTCTCCTTCACCCCACATCTTCTGCACTTTATTCCCACCTCACAAGTCAGGGAACTATAGGAATTTTGACCGGGTTTCCTACTAGACATCCTTCTGGGGAGAGACCCTTGTATAGTGAAGAGCTCCGCTCTGAGCCCGAAAAGTGTTGGTTTGAATCCTTGCTCTGTTATTTACCTGCTGTGTTTTGGGCCGGTCACTGCAAATTCATTGGGGCCCAGCTTTCTTTGAAAAATAAGTCTAAGAATCCTTACTTCATAGCGTGGTAATGCAGATGAAATGAAATTTTAGTCCCTTGACTCAGAGCCAATGCTTAGGAATGTAGTTCTCCTTCCCCGGACATCGTCCAGCGTCACTCTGCAACTTCACTGCCCAGAAACGGTGCCCCAGACACGCTCACTGACATGTGTAGGGACATCTCCAACAGGTGCTGAGCCTGGTCTCCTCTCAGCTCCCAGCAGGATCAAATCACCAGAAGCCATGATTGTAACTAGAAAAGGTGGACGTCCATGAAACACAGGCATCAGCGCTCTGTGCTTGGCCACGGTTCTGTGGACTCATGTGCGGGAGCACACGCTGGAATCACAGGGACCTTCTGACCTATCTGGTTGGCAGGGTCCTCCCGAGGTCAGGGACACCAGTCAGCTCAGTGGAGTCACCACCAGCACCGGAATGGCAGCCTCTGCTCCTGGAGAGGATGTGCCTTTCAGGAAAAGCCATCCTCAGTGATAATAAATCTTCCGGTCGCAGTCATAAGGGAAAATCTTGATAAATTGGACTCTATTAAAATCAAAACCCTCTGTTCTTGAAAATCTTTAGGAAAATAAAAAGGCAAACCACAGACTGGGAGAAAATATCCATAATTCATATATTAGACAAAGGACTTGTATTCAGGAGTATAAAGAAGGTTTACAATTCAATTTGAAAAAGACTTTCAACGCCATAGAGGGGGCCAAGAGACCTCAACAGACATTTTGCAAAAGAAGACACACAAAAAGTGTTCAACCTGATTAATCATCAGGGAAATGCAAAGTAAACTACAATGAGATAATCACTAAAATGAGCCAGTTTTTAAAAACTACAGTACCAAGTGTCAATGAGGTCGTGGAGCAACTGGAACTCTTGTGTGTCATGCTATGATTGTGGAAGGGCACAGCCCCTTTGAAAAAGGTGGGAAATTTCCTGTCAACTTGAACACATACTGAATCTGTGAGCCAGCAATTCCAACACTAGGTATTCACCCAGAAGACATGAAACACATCCACACAAACACTTGCATGTGCTATTCACAGCTGGGCGGGATCCATAATAGCAAAGGAAAAATAACACAACTCAAGTGTTCATCCACAGGTCAGTGGATAAAGAAATTGTGGGAGATCATTCTCCCCAGTAACACAAGGAGCAAGCGGTCAACACGCACAATATCTTTGTTGACTCTTAATGCTGAGTGAGGGGAGGGGATACAGAAGAGCACGGACTGTATGATTCCATTTCCATGAGGTCCTGGGACACGTGAAACTACAGCTACAGAAATCAGGTGGGAGGGTCAGGCTCCCCTGACCACAAAAGAACACTAGGGAAGTTTCCAGGATGACGGAGAGGGTGTCCCGTGGATGTGTGTACATTTGTCAAAACCCATCAGGCCACGTGTACCTGGTATTGTGTATGATTTAGACCTCCATGCAGTGGGTTAGAAAAAAATCCATTTCTAGCCCCATCACCCATGCAAAACCAGCTCTCCTGCCAGGAACTCGTCTCCCCCTGCGCCAAGCTCCCCTGCCTTGGGACGCCCCAGGAGACTTCTCACCACAGGCTGTGGCAGAACTGTGTCTACGGATCATGAGCTTCTTGAAGGACTGGGGCTGGTGGAAGCAGCCGTGCAGGCTTTTGGTACCAAAACCGAGAGTCCCCAGCAGATGTGCTATTGGCCCGAGACCATGGTTACTGCTAAAGTGTTAAGGTTCCCGAGAGCTCGGGCTGAGCATCCCACCCGGGGCTGAGTATGCACAGTCAGGGTTTGTGGAAAGCTTAGAATATACGGGTTAGTGGGGATTTCCAGGCTCTTCTACTTTGGAGGCCAGAGACTTGAAGCCAGGGACAGTGGCAGATCCTAGCCCAGAGGCTGAGCTCACTGGTGTCCTGCCTTTGGCTCCAGCCTCTTCCACGCTGCTGAGTGTTCTGGAAGGCAGGGAAACAGCTTACTTCAAGCCCTACTTGAGTTTTATGGAGCAGAGTCCTCCCAAGTCCCATCCCAGGACACCCCCCCACCAACCCGCCAAGGCCTGGCCTGCTACATCCCTGCTGCTCCCTGAGTCCTCTGACGCCCAGCAGCCCCAGTTCTGCCCCGAGGCCTCACAAACCTGAGGCTGCCAGGGATTCGTCCTGACCTCTGAGGAGCAAGTTGCTGGGAAAGGGCCTTTGTGCAAACAAAACAGCCTTTGGGTTCTCCAGAGGCAGCTTGTTTTCCCCTCAGATCCAGGATAGAAAAATAACCGGTGGGTGGGAGGAAGGGGAGAGGAGAGAGAGCCGGGGAGAGACCCTGCCTCCCAGACCTGGCCTCCTCCTCGCCCGGCCTCCCTCGCCAGAACTCAGGGGGAGAGGGCGCGGGTGGGGGGCGCCTGGACATGCCCCCGGCCCCCTGGCTGCTGTCCAGACCAGGTCCAGGGGCCTGGGGAGCCAGAGGCAGCAAAGGCAGGCTTGAGAAACTGTTTCCATCCCCACCCCCAGACTTCTCTCCCTGGTGTCTCTGCCAAGGTCCCTTCTTGGGCGGAAAAAGGCCTCCTGGTCTCATTTCCACAGGGCTGCGCCGGCCTCTCTGCTCCCCGCCTGGACAAACACGCTGACCTGCTCCTCTCCCTCCCTCCCGGCCTTCCTACCAACCGGTTCCCAAACAGAGTGTTTTTCCCGCTGCAGCTCTCCCTCGCAGCCCTGCCAGGCCCCGGAGCCCAGCTGGCACCCACATGAAAGTCCTTCCTGCCCAGGACCCACACCCGCAGCCTGGCCTGGCGTCCCTGGACACGGGGCCGCGGAAACTTGGCCGCGCGACGCGCTGGGGCAGGAGGAGCCGCTGACGCCGCCACGGAGAGGGAGCCCGGCCCGGCCCCGGCCTCGGCCTGCAGCGGGCGGCACCTGCGCCTGGCGGGGAGCGCCTGAACGTGGCAAAGTGCTGGGGCAGCACTTTGTGTGGTTATGCAGGTGTGTTGTTACTGCGCGTTTCCAGAGCGTTAGCAGAAAAAGAGAAAGCTGAGAAGGCGGGGTGAGGCCCAGGGTGGAGGGGTGGGGGCTGCTGGACACACGGGTCCTGGTCTCCACGTGGTGGCGAGGCCGCTGCGGCCGCCCGGGTCCCGCTGGGTGTGACCCAGGGCAGGTCTGCAGGCAGGTGCAGCCTGGGGGAAACTGAGGCCCAGGCGAGGGGGTGGGGAGCTGGAGGGGGGCCTTCAGCTCCCTCCCAGGACTCCCGTCTTCTAAAGAACCTCTACTCCCTGCTGGAGACTCTGTTCTTCGAGTGGAATCTGGGGAAACATACACCGAATGTCAGTGCACTTATGGGGTGACTTCCATTTTTTTGCTTGGGTTTTGCTCACCTATACTTTTTAATTTTTTTTACAGGGAACAAAAGTTACTTGTGCAAAACCATAAAGGAAGACAAGAGTTTAGATGAAATGATCCATCATGGAAGGTACTTAGCCAAACAAGGGGTTGACGTCTACCAGTGGGTAAAGGTCAGATGTTATTAGCTAAAGGCAAGGAGAAGGGCAGCAGAGGAAGGAAAGAGGAGGTGAGGGAGCACCTCAAGTGCGGGGGGTGGGGGTCAAAGCAGAAGGAGCAGGAGGGAGGAGGGGCCCGTAGTGTGTGCTGGCCTCACAGTCCCTGGGGCTGCCAGGGCCCTCAAGACGCCAGCGGGGGCAGCATGGAAGCAGCAGCCACCTGCCCTTCTCCTCGCCTCCCTGCTGTCCCTTCCAACAGCTCCAAGTCCCCGGGTGGGGTCAGCTGTGGGGCGCGAGGGAGTTAACACGAGCATTTACAGGACCGTTCACGCTAATGTGGCACGTGGAGGGAAAAGGAACACATGAGCTCAACACAACAAAAATAAACTTTTGGAGTATATAACAAAAAATTTTAAATTTAAAAACCATTTACAGAATCCCTGCATGGGATTTGTTTCTAGTTTGAGGGGCTCTCTCTGTCGCTCTCTCTCTTTTCTCTCTCTCTCTCTCACACACACACACACACACACACACACACACACACCCTCCTGAGGGAGGACAGCCAAGCTGAAGATGGGAGACGGGTCTCTGCTGCCAGGAGCCCCACAGGGCGGTCAACCATCCTTGGTGACATCATGTTTTCTGAGTAGATTTTTGCTTCAAAAGCCAAAAACGAATCTGAGCTCTCAGGCCTGGCTTCTCCGGAGAGGGCAGGGCGCTCTGAACCTGGCCAAAGTGGAACTCACACCCCAGCTCATTAAGGCAGCACTCAGCAAGGGGCCTACCACCCACCTCCCCCAAAAGTCCTCACAGTGTGATCTCTCAGGGCAGAGAGAGTGCGGGCTCCGGAGGGAGCTGAAGAGGGAAGGGAGGGAGGGGCTCTCCAAGAACAGGGATGGGCTGGGGATGACCCTCCCCAGCCCAACCTGCCTCCCTCTGAGGCCCTGTCTTATTTTCAGGCTCTTGACTGACAGGAAGTCCCTGCAGGGGCTGGCAGACCCCATCGGGGAAGCAACTAGAGATCATGCTGAGGACCAAGTCATTCGGGGTCCTGGATATTAGTCACCTTGGGGGCAGTGTCTCTGAGCCAGAGGCCAGGACAAGGCTCATAGCCGGGCACACCAGCTCTGGAGCACGAGGGCCTGGTGTGTGTCCCAGCTGCGGTCACCGGAGTCCCTTGCTTGGCTTCTCTGAGTCTTACTTTCTGCATCTGAACATGACACTCCAATCATTTATTCATATATGCATTTGTTCCACAAGGTTCATCAAGCACCTACTACGTGCTGGGCACTGAGAATCCAATACAATTTTGTTCCTGTGCCAATGGAGCTTGCAGCTTAGTGGGAGCCACCAGCGCCCCCCCAGGATGTGTGTAAGCGCATAGGCCCATCCGGCAGGCAGCCTCCAGCCCTTGCCTCTTGCCTTGCTGCTCAGGTAGGAAGATGGAATTTGGAGAAACTCAACAGTCACCAAGGAAAGAACTTCAGCGATTAATTCCGGGGGTGAGCGGTGTCCAAAGAAGCTGGAAAGTCTCCTCCCACCGCCCACCCTGGGAACCCCAGACCCGAAGGAGCAGCGGGGCTCTCTGTGTCATGGAAAGCTGCCCGGTTTCCCCCAAATGCCCTCGTGTGCCCAGAGGCATGGGGTGCTGGCCCAGGAAGGCAGCCAGAAAGTCCAGCTGGGTCGTTTGCATGGCAGGCGCTGACGCCCGGCTGCAGCCAGCTCTGAGTCATGTGCCTCATCACTTGGCAAGGTCTCACCCCCTCCCGAGCCCCTCCCTTCCTGCAGGTGGTGGGTGGGGGGCCAGTGCAGCTCCCTCTGGGGCGCAGCAGTCAGGATGCCCCAGCTCAGCAAATTCACTGGTATGTGGCTGCAGAAAATCAAAGAGACTTCTCTGAGGTATGAATAATTCTCCCTCCCCTGCTCCTTCCTATAATCTTACAGCTCGGGGCCAAGAAAAATTCTCTTCAGGGAAGGAATTGAAAAAAATCTCTCTTTACATCTGCGTGTCGTTTTACACACACAGGTCCTTCATCTGTAGTATCTCAGCTATTTGAGCCTCGCCAGCACCTTTTAAGTTTGTTATTGGAGGCTGTGAATTCCGAGCCCCCTCCACCCCCAGCTCCCCTCAGAAGTGGGGGCCAGCCAATAAGGGAGGCACCAGAGCAGACTGGGCAGAAATCATCAGGCACATCGGATTTAGGGGCGCATAGAAATGTAGTTATTATTGGAAATTTAAAGCAATGAACAACTGTGCACCCATCCCCCAGGTTTTTTAAAAAATCCAAGTCTCAGCCACGCTCCTTCCAACTTCATCAGTGTCCACTCCATCCCGGCCTCCAACATGGAGCGTTTCGGAGGAAACCCGCGCCATCACCAGACACTAGTGTTCAAACTCCCCCAAAACGCTCACTCTGCATTCGGTTGTCAGGGGACCTGCGTTTCTGAATCTACAGGTTCCTGCTTCCTCTTTTTCCTTGTAAACGTTCAAGAAACCAGGTCACTTTTCCTGTAGCGCCCCCCACCTCCCCCTTCTGGATTAGGCCAGTCATATTCTCAACATCCTCCCTGCCCCAAGCGCAGCTGTGGGCCCCTGGGCGTAGAAGATGCGACTGACACGCGTCAGGAGCCGTGTGTGAAGGTGGAGTAAGTGGGAGGGAAAGTGGAAAATCAGGCTGGTTACTGCTCGTCAGGCTCCCACCGTCGGTCCCCTCCGCCTGGCCTCTGTGGGCGGCGCTAGCCCAGATTTTGTGCACAGAGGGACGACGATGAGCATAACATGGGGAGGCTCCCGCCAGCACCAGGGCAGCGGTGCCGCCAGAGACGCGGCGAACACGGTGCGGGAGGCTGCTGCTGGCAGAGGAATCCCGACGGCTGCGGCATCACTAAGTCGTGGTGATTTGGGGGCCACCATGGCATATACGGCCCGACCTTGACCGAAATGCTGTTTATACAGCACATGGCTGTGTTTCCTGTGGGCTGAGCGTTAACCTCTAGCTGTGCGCTGTGGTTTTGAGCAAGAACACCCCATCGGGGAGGCACCACTGGGAGGCACATAATGTCGCTGGTCTCCCCTTTGTGTTAGGGGACACTGATGATCACTCTCTCGGTCCACTTGTTCCGAGGGGTTGGCCGAACGTTGGCCGAATGCTAGCTCCAGGGTTGCCTCTTCCCCTGGCAGCTGCAGTTCCTCCAGAGAGAGCCTTTTCCTCCCAAGTGATATTTACCTCGAGGCCCAGTCTCTATAGCAAAGGCAGACTGAATTCTTGATCCCCTTTCTTTTTATAGTTGGGTCCCCCACTCTCTCATCCAAAGACAACCTGAGTTCTATTATTTTTATTGTGATTATGAACCACAGGTGTGAACAATTTTGATGCGTTTCAACCTATTACACTGTCCAGTCTTATTTACGGTCACAGTTCCATCTCTGGGGTCCTGCAGTTACTTCCTGCGTTCTACTGACCTGGCCTCGGTTGTCCTTTTTTTTTTTTTTTAAAGATTTACTTATTTGTACAAGCTCTCGGGTACATGCCAGAGGCGCAGGAGGGTGAAGGAATTCACCAGAGACAGTGCGGGGAGCAGAACAGGCAGACAGACCGAAAACACTGCTGGGAGGAGCAGCGGACCAGACAGGAGAGGTCTGTGGTGCCATGTGGGTATCTCCCTTGGCTGGCCAGGGATCAAACCGCGCTGCAGAGGCTGCGCTCAACCCGCTGCTTCACCGGAGAGGCCCCTCAGTTGTCTTTTGATAAATTCCTTGTTTTCATGCATAACAGAATGTTGCTGGCCTATCTTGTATATTTTGTCAGGGACCTGCAATCCAACATTCTTTAAGAAACTCTGATCTTTTTTGGTGGGAAATGATACTTGGATTTCATCATCTAGGATTTCATCACTAGGCATCCACTGGACTGGTTGACCATTATTGCCAACTCTTTTTAATGGGTAGAGCTAAGACATATATTTTAAATGTTATGTTTTTGTTTGGAATACATTTTTCAAATTTATGTAAAAGTTGTAATTAAAATACAAATAACTTTCCCTCCCTCCCAAACCATCTGAGAGCTGATTGCTGGCATGAATGTCCCATAATCCCTAAATATGTTTAGCTTCTTTCCAACGAACAAAACATTTTCTTCCATAAGAAAGTACAACAATCTAGATCAGGAAATGAAAGTGGATACGTCACTATCACGGAAGAGTTGTTGTCTTAATGATACATGATTGCATTTGCTGGTTAATGAACACACGAGCAAGGTGGGAAGAAGGACGGAGCTGACAGCGAAACCTGGCACAAAAAAACCACACAGGCCACAAAGGAAATATTCCCTCTCCAAACCCACCGTGTTCTGGGGGTGCTGGAGTGAACTTCTCCTGGGATCCAAAGGTCTAACCTGGGGGTTGAAATAGGGTGTTTTTGCAACCCACCCTCCATCTTCCAGAATTATCAGAATCAAAATACGTGGTCAAACTTCTAGTCTTCTACTGCTTAGCAGGTGAGCTATGATCTGTGTGATTTAAATTGCATTTCCTCTATTTTCAGTAAAGATCATCTTTTCACATGGCCATTTGTGTTTGACCTTTCCTGTGTCCTTAATATCCTTCGACTTCCTCATTTGGGGAGTTTTCTATTGTTTTTGGGAATAAGATACACCTGCCATATTTACTTTATGGCATGATTTGGTTATTAGTGGTACAAACGTTACAATAGCCAGAAATAAGAAGCTCTAAATGGTAAGGGCTGGGGCCTGGAAAGTGCAAGATGAGTTGGAACTTTTTTTTTTTATCCAGAAATCAGGAAAATGATCAAAGAATGATAGCTGATGTCAAAAGGGCTTAGGAACTAGCTTGAAGGGGCTCCTGCTAGGCAAATCTGGAACAATTTAAACATCAAAACTACTGATATTAGTGGAATTTGAACTACTGAATAAACTACGGAATCCACATTGGCAGAACAAACACCTGGGGGAAAGAGAAAATGTTTCCTGATAATAAGGTGCCAGATAGTAAATTCAAAAGAAAGCTGGAATTAGAAAAAAAACACTTTACAGGCAGCATAATAATTACTTAGGCTGAAAACCACAATGGATGCTAAACTAGTAGGTGAAGTGAGTTATTAAATAGAATAATTACACATTTTCAAAGATCACCATGCTTGGAACAGAGTGTAAATGTGAATCAAATATGTCAATTATTGCTACAAATATGCATAGTTACAGTGGAGCAAACTGGCAGAGCCCACCTTTAAAAACATTTATTGAAATAACATTGGCTTACGACACCATGTAAGCTTCAGGTAGACAGCACTATATTCCAACATCTGTCTACACAACATCATAATCACCGCAAAAAAGTCCAGATTTATCCACCACCACATAATTGGCAGCTTTATTGGTTTGACCCACTCTGACCCCCTCCTCCGGTAACCATCCCTCTCGTCTCAGACGCCAAGAATTTGTTTTGTGTTGTTTGTTCATTTGTTTTGTTTCTTTAATTCCATGTAAGAGTGAAATCATGAGGTGCTTGTCTTTCTCCGTCTGACTTATTTCGCTTCGCATAAGACACCATCTTAATTAAGTGATTGAAATGAACAGCACCTGGAGTGGAACAAGGCCACATCATTATGAAACCCAATGGGGGTGCAGTGAGATATTCCTGGCCCCCAAGTATATAACCTGGGTCAAATCGCAAGGAAATGTTACATAAACCCAATTGCAGAAGGTCTTACAAAGACTAATTTAACCTTTAAAAAAAAAAAAAGTCCTGGACTGTTCCAGATTGAAGGAGACTAGAGAGTCGTGCCAGCTGGGTGTGGATCCTTTGCTAGAATATCACTGGGCGACTGGTGAAATACAAATGGGAGGCCTGGAGGGAAGTTCTTTGTATTCTTGCATCTTTTCTCTAAATTGAAATTGCTAATTGAATTCTCTAATTGAAATTGCTCAAAAAAATAATAAGAGATGCAGATGTAGGTACAAATACTGAGAGAGGGAGGAGTGACTTTTCTAATTTTCTCCTACCTTTTGGACTTGGGGTCACTGAGAGCACAGAACTGCCCTTGATTTCCTTGGAAAGGTCTCCACCAGGCCCTGCTGGCACCCGGATGGCAGCCAAGCTTCAGAGGCTTGTACTTTGGGTCCCACCGACTCTGGGAACTCTATGCCAACTGAAATTTAAAATGACCACTAGGGAACTTCCTCCCTGGAAGCAGACGACATCTTGAGGTGTTCAGCTCTCCCAGGACACCAGATTGCACCTCGCACATTAACTTTCTTCTCTTTGCTCCCATCCACTCTGGCGCTGGCCTGAGAAGATCAAGCCATCTGCTGTATCTCCCGGCTGTATCCTGCTAAGGGGTGTGAGTGTCCCAACTGCTACATGCATCGTCAAAGGCTCAGATCCGTCCATGACCCCTGGTCCTCCCCTGAATTGACGCCAGCAAGTCTCAGAGGCCATTCCGGAGTCAGGCCAGTTGGCCAGTCCCTACCGCCTCGTTGGCCAGTCCCTACCGCCCTGGTTAAGACTGAACACAAGTGAGTATGTATCAGAAATCCCTCCTCGACACGGAAGATACTGCAGATTCAGTTGCTAAGGTCTTAGTTGTCCAACAAAGATCCTTAGACTGTGGCCAAAATGCTTCTTGGTAATAGGAGAGCCCTCGGTTATCTGTGCTGTGGCCAATACCACCTGCCGTCCCCGCATTAACACTTCTGGGGAAGCTGA